AAAAAAAAAAATTTTTTTTCAAAATATAAATATTTAAAAAAATTTTGTGCAAAATTTTTCTGCACATGCATTTGAATATAAATTTCTGAGATTTTAAATCTGTTATTTTACCTTAATTTTAATTAAAAAATATTTTAAAACCTGCTGATTACCTATAGTATAATTAAATTTCAATATAATGCATGGCAACTGTTGGTAGTTTTGAAGTTTATATATTTTCTTGGCAAACTTCAGTTTTTGACATTTTTGACGGTTTAAACCAGTATTATGCCCTTGTCGTGTCAAAAACCACTTTTTGACGTCAAAAACCCAACCCTGATCAGGGCACCAATTTACTTCAGAGGCAACAGGGTGGATTCTTTTGACTAAAAGGGCAGCAGGGTGCTGCGCCCTGTTTACCCTGCCCAGAATGAGCTCTGAGTTAACAAATAAAATATTGAAAATTGCTATGAATTGGACTAGCTATTAAGAATGAATTGTATACATATATTTTTTTAAGAAAGTCAATAAATCATATCAATAACGTGATAAGATAGGGATATAGCGAATAGTGATTTGGCTAAATTCCAAATATTCAGTCGAATTGCAAAATTTTTTTTTTTAATCTGTAATAAATATTATTTTTATATCAATAAGTTTAGTCATTATTAAGAAATAATCAAAACTTAGCTATATTTTTGGTAAGGGATAAAGAGAAAAAACTATAATAGTTATCCCTATGAAATGTTTAAGATAAATAAAAAACTAACTACGAGCTATAAAAAAATCTTAAGTTTTAAATCTGAAAAATAAAAGAAAGAGAACAAAAAATTTAAATTCTTAAAACAAACTTAAATGCCATAAATAATATTTTCTGGGGGAAAAAATATCAATGAAAGGTTGAACGAAATATAGTCTATCAGAAGCGCTTTATTAAAAAACGCTATCATAAAAGCATGTGTAAAAACAAAAGATTATGTTCGAAAGCAAAACAAAAAAAAGTAAAAATCTATCTTAATTCTCGAAAGAAAATTTTGAAGCAGACTGTCTCAAATTTCTATTTATCATATTTTCAAGAAGAAAAAAAAAATAAAGTCTTAGGTACCCTCTTAATTGTCATGTCATAATAAAAGCAAAAGTCTTTATTGAAGAAAAGAAAAGTCTAGATCCCTATGGCAGAATCACGACGACAATGTTGTAGAACGTTACAGAATTCTCGCAGAAAGAATTTTTTCTTTGAAAGTAAAAAGTTTTGGTTTTCTTTCTGCAAAAATTTTCAATTTTTTATTATTTTTTTTTCCTTTGAAATTATATTTAAAAGATGCCTTTTTCGCGCATCGGAGGAGAAAGAAATGTTCGTAATTTTTCGATTTTTATTTGAAAAAAATGAAAAATAAAATAAAGAATATTAAAGCAAACAATTTCTTTTCTGCAGAATTTTTTTCCCCTTCCAGAGGGGAACAAATGATTAATTTTAGCTTGAATGATTAATTTTAACATGATTTTTTAATTTTGGTTTTCTTTTCTTTCACGGATTTTACAATTTTCAATTATTTTTTTATGTGATGATTTACGAAATGCAAAAAACGAAATAGTTAGTGTGTTTTCCTCTTACAAAATGTGACAATATCGCCCGAGATGATTAGAATAAAAAAAAAAATATTACATATTCATTTTTAAAAAAATACATAAAATTTTATTATACCCAAATAGGCTTTTCTTTGTGAATACAACATTTCTGTTACTTTAAATTTAATTAGTATATATATTAGCAGTGTTTTCCCTACAAAGCGAGAACGCGAGAATCTCGCATATTTTTTTCTTTTCTTGCATTAAAAAATGATTAACGCGAGAAATTCTCGCACTCTATTAATAAATTTCAAAATGAGCGAATCTCGAGAATTTTGGAAAAAATTTCATCTTCCACTATTTTAAATGAAATCCGTTTTTCAATCCTTAATCCCTTGATCTTTCCTTATTTTCACCATCGGTCCTTGTTATCAAGCTTTCCTATTTACCAGTATTGTTCAGAACCAGTGCAAACAGCAGAACACAATGCCCCCCACCTCCAAAACCCTTTCAGAACACATTTCTCTTCAACCACGTGTTAACCGTAGGTAAGGTTTGTTCATGTAAGACATTTAAATTTTTTGAGCTTGAATGTAAGATGGACAAATACCTTGTTAAGGCAACATTTTCTAGTTCATAACGGACAAATGAAAATGAAACAAATACGGATATTCAATGGATACGGATCAAATACTGGCATGAAGTAAGAACATGAAAATAACTTCGCTATTCTATAGCAGAAATAATTGAAAAGCCTATGCTGGCAGGCGAAGAGGATAAGAAAGTGTGTGCACAATGTTACAAATTTACTTAGGGGTTCCGAATAGTTCAGCATCTGTTGCACCCAAAACCAATGGATACGGATCAAATACTGGCATGAAGTAAGAACATGAAAATAACTTCGCTATTCTATAGCAGAAGTCTATTCGTGTTTTTTTCATTTTTAGAAATCTCACCAAACTTTTTGAAACCTCACCCAGTTTTTGAGTAAGGGTGAGAAATTCTCACCCACTTTTTTTCTGTAATGAAAACTCTGATTAGTTATTACTAAAAGTATCTTGCAGAAAGATATTAGTGCTAAAGAGGTTTGTCACAGAAAGCCCAAACAAATTCTGCCACAGGGTTCTAGATACCTAAAAATGAATCACTCTTAATTTTTAAAAGGAAAATTTTATGCTAAAAATCTCAGTTTAACTTTTTCACATTGTCATATTTTTAGAAAAAAATGACTCTAAGGAATAATGCTGTGTCATAATAAAAATACTGATAAAATAAATAAGTTAATAAAAAAAGCAAAAGGGAAACAGGAAAGAAATTATTCTTAGTTCTTAAAGCATAACTTCAGCATTGAAAATTATAGATTTTTATGCTACCAGTTACTGTACAGGAATAAAATGACAATAAAATAAAGTGTATTAGAAATATTCTGTGATAATGCTGCCCTATAATAAAGACAAGAAAGAAAAATATCTATCTCAATTCTCAAAACAAAAAGTGGACAAAATTAACTTGCCTGAATATAAAAATTTTAAAAATCCAGCAGTTCAAAAATCGTGGTTCAGTATAAAGTTAGCTAATTTTAATCTCAATTCTCAAAACAAAAAGTGGGCAAAATTGACTTGCCTGAATATAAAAATTTTTAAAATCCAGCAGTTCAAAAATCGTGGTTCAGTATAAAGTTAGCTAGTTTTAATTCTTCATATTTTGCTTTTTCATTTGTCTTCCAGGACATATATTTGCAAGCCATGTTAAAGTTTTAGAACTTAACAAATGTGTTTAAAGAAATATTTCTAGCATTGTATAGTTAAAAGTACCTTTTTAGGTTATTTTTTATTAAATCTATTAAAAAATTTAAAATAAAGCTTTGCCAAAGAATACTTTTTTTTTCAAGAAATATTTTGCCGAATATTTGGTTTGACAGTTGGCCAACTAAATATTCGGCCAAAGGGACAAATACTCAATAGTTGGCAAATATTTGTTATGTCCCTAACATGGTAAATCAGTAGCAGAAATGATAAAATTAGAAAAAAAGAGGAGTAATCACCACAGAAGAGGGGGAACAGAAATTATAAATTTACTGTCAAGTTAAAACTCATATTGAGCTAATATTTAATATAAAATAAAAAAAACTTTGCCGGTGGAGTGCGAAAGATTGAAAACTTAGGAACAGCTAAAATCGAAAGACACAAGCAATTTCTAATTCCTATTTCCCAATGTAAGTTTTGTGTATTACTATCGTTATTTATTTAGATAGAAAAAGGAAGGAATGCATTAAAAAGTAAAAACAGATCATTAAATAAATAAAAAAACTATGTATAATTTTTTTTAAAAGTTTTATATTGTTATCTTCTATGTTTTTTAGGAATGTTTTAAAGGCAATTGGAATATTCACAAGGAAGTTCATAAAAAAGCTAGTAAGTTCTTACCATTATGCATGTGTATCAAATGTTCTTTTTAAAGTTTTAAGCTATAAAATTCTTCGAAATATACATAATTAGTATTTGTTTATTAGTCTAGGATAATATTTATATAATTTTCTGGTACAGGGGATTAATCTTGTCTTCGATAAAATGTCACTCACTAAATTAAATTATCAGTTTTAAAGAGAAATCTCAAGTTGAAACAAAATGAAAAAATATTGTAGTATTTCATTTTGGTCAGTACACAATATTACTGCCAATAGGTAATTTTGCTCTATGATTAAACTAATACTTAACTTTATTACTTATTAAAAACTTAATTTGCTTCAAAAATATACAAATTGGAAATAACCATCAACATGTTTCAAGCTCTCGAAAATAGTTGCTCATTTTCGAGACTTGCTAGACATGAAGGTGAAGTAGCACAAGGATTTAGAATAAAAGATGTAAAAGCTTCCAACGAAAGATAGAAAAATAAAGGGGGGAAACAAAACTAGAAAAAACCACAGTATCCGAGAAAGAAAAAAGATATGAAACAGAATGTTAAAAACCAGAATGACCGAGAAGGGCAAATCAGGGTAAAATGTACAGTGTATCCGCGCACCTGGAAAGTGATGAAAAATTATGGAAAGTCATGAATTTCGGTATTGAACAAAATTTTTCATGAAATGTCATGATTTTAACTATTTTTTAAAAAAAAGTCATGGATTTAGGCTGCCGAAAAATCTAATTTTTAAAATGGAATTTTAATCCCCCCAATTTCATAGTGTTCCAAATCTCTGAATTTGTAATAAAATCCCCACTCACAGTCATATTTGATTAAAATATAAAATGTTTTTATCGTGTTCTTTCAAAAAATGAAAGAAAAAACATTTCTAGAACGGATTATCTTTTAAACTTCTGTGATTTCAGAATTTTTCTTATTATTATAATTTTTTTTTTTTTTTTTTATCAATTTAAAATTTTAGCTGAAGCAAGCCAGTCATTGTCGAATTTTTTTATTACGAAATGAGATCAGAAAAATCGAGAGTATTTCTTTCCTTTCCGATGGAAAAGAAAAGTATCTTTAGAATGCAATTCTGCAAAAAAAAAAGAAGAAAAAAATATTTGCTTTCGTATTTTTTTCAGCTATTTTGTTACTTCAACTCTTTCTTTACTCTATTTTTTTAATTTTTAAAATCTATAAATATGAAGATGCAGAGTATAACAGTTTTGGTTATACCTATCATTTCAATGAATGTTATTATAATGCTTTTTTAAATTTATTGTTGTGTTTTTGTCAGAGAAAATAGTAACTTTGTGAAATCATGAAAAATTCTTGGAATTAGTCATGGAAAGTCATGAATGTGAAAATCTAAAATGTAGCAGATACCCTGAATGTATTTCTTCTTGCTAGGGAGAGGTGGCGAGGAACTAATGTTGTTAACAAGGGAATAAACATTCATATCATTAAGACAAGATTCTGGGGCATCAAAATGAGTTGATGTGACTGTAAGACAAACATATCATCTACATATCTTTTCCACCATGAAAAATTGAAGAATTTACCTTTCCTTTGAAATAATGCATAAATAAGTCAAAAAATGGATGGGAGGGGTTGCTCATAACTGAACCCTCAATTTGTTTATAGAAATCGTCGTTGAATTAAAAAGCAGTTTGTTGAATATTGACAAGGGAGATAATAACTTCAATTTCAATAGAAGCTTATTGAAATTCTTGAAACCATAGTTTTAAACAATCAATAACACCAAAAATGGAGACATTAGTGAAAAGAGAGACAACATCAGGAGAGAGAGCATAGTTCTGTTGGAGAAGGAAAGATGTACTAGTTGGGGGCAGGGTTGGCAGGTTTTTGATGTGTGACCGTTTAAACCATGGTTTAAACCGTCACGTCAAAAACCTCATTGTCAAAAACTTATATTCATATGTGAAATTTAATTAATACATAAAATTTATATATTTTTTAAAGGATAGTGTTTCTAAATATGTTCTAGAAAAAATAAATTTAAAATTTTGAAGACACACTTATATTTTGAATAGTAACCAAAATCTTGTACTTTTGAAAACTCACATCTTTTGTAATATTATGTATTCATTTTCATGTGTTATTGAAAATCTGCAGTGATATTATTAAGAAATTTATTTATAACCAAATTTAGTGTATAGTATNATCTATTAAATATGTTTCAGACCCCTAAAAGAGAAGTCCCTGATTCTATAATGCGACCTGATTATGCTGATCATCCTACAGGTATTTAAATAGTATTTTATGACAATATTCTCAAAATAAAATATTAAATTATTATTTTTAAATTTACAATAAAATCTAGGATATTAATGCAAATCCCTTTAAAAATGTATTTTTTGCTTGAATTTTTTTTTATCAAACAAATATTTTTATTAATTATTTATTTAATTATTATTAAATTATGTATTTATCACCTTTGTCTGAACTTACATAGGATAAATTTTGCAAAATATTATTAATTAAATTGGCACTTATAGAAATTTTAATGAGCAGTGCCATCGCATGTAAATAATGAATAGTGGCATCACTTCAAATGATAATTTGATACCTTAAAAAACCAATAATATTTTCTTTGGAAAACAGTAGTCAGTGAACCAGCTTTCATGGTATGGCATATTTTCCAATTGCTAAACTTATTTATAAGGCTTTGACTGAATTTACTAGGGAGGGAGATTTTTAGTTTTTAAGAGATTTATGTAAAAAAAAATTTATTTTTTTAAGCAATTAACTTTTTAATCTTGGAGAAGCTGAGAGGTTTTTACTATTTAATTTGTATTATGTATATTATGGAGCAGACTAATCATACTATCTAATAAGGATTTTTATATAATGTGAGATTGTTAGCTAGAATTTTATTCTTAAACAATCATCGTAAGAATATATAAACAGTGGAACCTCCTGTTATGGACACTCCTGCAAAATGGATGCTTCTCAATACGGACAGATTTTTAATTCCACAGGAATCTTCTATGAATCAACCATTATGTACATTCTCCGCAAAGCGGTTACTCCCATAACCAGACGCAGACTGTCATTTTTGCCCTGAACCATTATTTTTTATCTCTTCACACCAGACACTACTTTATCTAAATTTGAAAGAAGAAAAAATTCACTTTCTGCTTTAAGTTGCAAGGAAAAAAATTCAACTTTTCACCATTTTTAAAGCATGCAGATTTTTTGCCTCATCAATAACTGAAAATATTGTTAAGCTATTTCATTACTAAAGAATCAATCTTTCTCCTGACACCTTGCCTTATCTTTGCAAAGAAAGGAGAGAAAATGATACTGCTCTTGTGAAATAATTCGGCCAGCAGTATCTCTCGATCTTTTTATCTGGGTCATGCAAGTTATGAGACCCCTCAAGTTAAAATAACGTCTTAATGCTTCTTCCCCTCAGAAAATTTCTTTCATTTTCTTATCAATTTGAAGACTGTATTTAACACAGCTGGGCTAAAAATTAAAAAAAAGAACAGAAGTGTAATCTTTGAAGTGTTTATGAAACATTTATTCAGACACTTGATATATGATCAATTGTGAATAATCAACTCTATAGGTCCTCATGACTTGCAGGTATGCATTGCTTTTTTTTCTTCTATGAATCGTGGGAGGTGTACTTTCAAGGAGGTATTAACCACATTTCCCATCAAGTGATTAGTAGGTGTTTGGGAATGTAAACCTAATAATAAAAAGTGACCGAGGACTAAAACCTCCTATTTGGTATCATATGTCTAACTCAAATATCTGTACTAATAGGAAGATTATTTTCATTTATCTGTATATCTATTCATTTATCTGTTATCTGTATCTTATAATTAAGATTTATTAGTTAATTAAATCTGACAGATCAAAGATTTTGTGTCTTTACAGTAATTGCTCCAATCTATGACAAATCAGAAAAGTTCATACAAACTGATACAAGTGTATTATTTTGGTCATTTTTGTGCCAATGCACAACCATGATTTCCTGATCAAAGTTTTAAAAAATCAGCGCTAATTTACTTTCATGCGATCGTTTCATTTTCTTTTTGTTGCAAGCATCACAATGCACAAATCTTAAGACCACGTAACTTAGAGATGAATTAACTTAGTAACTTAGCAGAATGGACAATTACAGTCAAATTTTTTTTAAATTTTAATGCATTCAGAATCCCTCAAAACTCCCAGAAAACATTTTATTACTTTTCTAAGAAGGCTATTTATTTAGTTATTTTCAATCAAAAAACGCTTACTTTCGTTTTCGCCTGAAACGGGGAGTCACGTGATTATTCACGAACTGACGTCACACGTGTCCATCTGCCGTTCACTTACAATAGCTGTGCTGCGAAAACCAATACGTTCTTGCTTTCGTTTAAATTTTCTAATTAAATCCAACCATTTTAGATGGTCTAAAGCTATCTGTATAAAAAANGTATTCTTCAAAACCAATTCTTTAGGATAAATATTAAAAATAAAATCATAATTATCACAATTAAACAAAATTAAATCATCAATATTTCTAAAAACTTTAAAATCATTAAACTCGCTAGATTTAGCTTCAAATAAATATTAGCAAAAGCACCAAAAAAAAAATTACCTTGCGGAATCCCTATATTTTGTTTACAAAAATTAAGGCCATTAAAAAGTACATTTTTAGGCCTATTTCACTACTAAAGAATCAATCTTTATCTGACACCTTGCCTTATCTTCGCAAATAAAGGAGAGAAAATGATACTGCTCTTGTGAAATAATTCAAACAGCAGCATCTCTTGATCTTTTCATCTGGACCACACAGGTTATGAGACCCCTCAAGTTAAAATGATGCCTTAAATGCTCTCGATGCTTCTTCCCTCAGAAAATTTCGTTCATTTTCTTATCAATTTGAAGACTGTATTTAACACAGCTGGGGTGGAAAAAAAAGAGAGCAGAAGTATAATCTTTGAGGTGTTCATGAAACATTTATTCAGACACTTGATAGATGATAGACTTTATTAAGTGTGAATAATCAACTCCATAGGTCCTCATGACTTGCCTTGCCTTTTTCTTTCTTTGAATCGTGGGAGGTTTACTTTGAAGGAGGTATTAACCACATTTCCCATCAAGTGATTGGTAGGTGTTTGGGAATGTAAACCTAATAATTAAAAGTGACTGAGGACTAAAAGCTCCTATTTGGTATCGTATATCTAACTCGAATATCTGTGCTAATAGGAAAATTATATTCATTTATCTGTAGCTACATCTAGAATTATGTGTTTATATTAAACTTTTCTATTTATTTTTTGTATTGAAGAAATATTTTTTAAAGTTTAAATAACTATCTTTGTAGATTATTTAATTATTTCCTATATCATTGAAAATATTCCAAAAGCAATTTACGGTGTTAAACTTCATTATTAGGGTACCCTTACTGTAAATGGATGACTCTCATAAACTGAAAATTTTTTCTGTCACAAGAATGCCTGCTTAACTGAGGTTTTACTGTATATATTTTCTATTTTTAAAAATCCAAATTTTTTGTAACTTGCCTATACATGGATTTACCAATAGTTAATTAAATCTGACAGATCTAAGAAGGAATACTATGTTGTGAAATCTATATAAAACTAATGACTTTATTAAAATTTTAAAATATAAAAGTATCAAGGGTCCCTCACCTGCACCAGTTGCTCCAATCTATGACAAATCAGAAAAGTTCATACAAACTGATACAAGTGTATTATTTTGGTCATTTTTCGCTATTTCATCATTAGATAATTTATTTTCTTTTTGTTGCAAGCATCACAATGCTTAGTTTCCCACGGATCTTGAGACCATGTAACTTAGAGAGGAATTAACTTAGGAGAATTTGTTGAAAATATAAGCAATGAAACTATTGCTAAAATAAAAGTGTAAAATTGATAATGTAAAAAAATAATTATGAACATTTAAAAAATTACTCTCTCTCTAAAGCTAATGATCTTTTACTTTAAACAAAATTATTGCCAACCTGTGATCGATCTAAGACAGTATGACTCCATCTGCGAGTGGCTTTTTAGACAGAAGAACTATTAAATCACTTAAATATATTTGTCTTCCCTTTTTTATTTAGCTTCTATAAAATCGAATTAATATTCTCTATATGACTTTTACAACGTGGATATAACTTTCAAGCAATCGTTTATTAAATAGAGAGGCAAAGAAGCGAAAGCAAATCTTTATTTATCTTGTTTTCTAATGAATTAGCTAGTTTAAGTCACATTCTTTCTTCCTATATTTCACTTTTATCTCTGCTTGAAATGAGCTCTTCCCGATTATTAGGAAATTCTCATGAAGTTCTCAGTTATTTTAAAATGCTTTGTTTCTCACACTAGAAATTAAATATTATTTCTATTTATGTTATTCAGGTGTATCTTTGTGTGAAACTACATTAAAGGGAACAACAAGCATCAAAATCCTAGATGATGAAGAAATTCAGGGTGTTTCTTTAGCTTCAAAGGTGACTTATTTTGTTACATTAAAATTCGTTATTGTCCTACTTGTTTTTATTTTTATTTTTTTAAAATTATATATTAATAATTTATTTTAAAAAAATATTGTAATAGTTTGATTACTTAGAATATGAAAGATTCAAATATCACTTTTATCATCACTGGATTCTTGATGGATGATTTACTGTCAGCAGATACTTAGAAAGATTCTATTTTAATCTGCAAGTTCACTTTTTATTATAAATCATTCTTTTTACTCAATTGCTCTAAACATAAACTTTTCTTCCACAGAGCTGTTAAATTTTTAAATTCTATCCCTGTTTTTGAAACTTCAATTTTTTTAAAAATCCAAATAATTAAGCTTGATCAAGAAGACATTAACAAGGTTAAAATTTCACAGAAACTAAAATGTAACAAAGTTTTCAAATAAAGTTAGATTTTTTGTGTCAAAAAAATTATTATTTTATTATTATTATTTTTTTTGTATGATAAACTGCAAAAACTGGTTAAAACTATCAAAAACATATCATGAAACTGTAATTTATGAGAAGTTTCACTGTGTGTTCGCTAAAATAGATTGATAATAAGAATTTCCATAAAAATGGTCATTAATATAGATATTCTAAATCGATCACTGTCCTCTGTGCCAATAAATAAATAAAATTTTGTGTCTTTACAGTAATTGAAGCAAGTTCTACCAGTATATTTAATTTCCAACTTTAATTTTTTTCAGCTTGCTCGAGAGGTGTTAGACGCAGCTGCAAAAGCTGTTGCTGTGGGCGTTACTACCGATGAATTGGATCGCATTGTTCATGAAGTTAGTGTCAAACATACTTTTCAATTTTCTGCAAATCTGCAGAGTTCCCTTTTTTTTAGCCTGATTTGCATCATAAACAAAGCAATTCTAAGATTTAAAAAATTTGGTATTTTGAACTGTGGGACCAGCCATAAAGTATATGGGGAAAAGAAAGCTTTGGCATAAAATAAAACAAAGCATAATGTTATTTTATATAAATTATATTACAGATGTGTTATTCTTCTGATAAAATTTTCTTGGAGTTCCACTAATCTAAAATTTAAATTTTGTTACTTCTGCAAAATCTCATTAACGAGACATTTGTTCCGCCCTTAGTAGCACTTTCTTTTTTTCTCCCTAGTTCTCATTCACATGCAATGATGACTTTTTATTAAAATTTGTAAGAGAAGAAATCAACTACTCATAAACATCAAGAAAAAAAGTTCTATAAGAACTTCGGATAGAAATAATGAACTATTGAGCTAAACACAAAAGTATAAAATTGATAATCTAAAAAGTAATTCTGAAATGGCAAACAATTAAAAGATTGTTTGCTAGAAAAACTGTGTTTTTGCTAACTTTTTTATTTGGCTACAATTAGATTGCATTAATTTTTACCTGATATTTTGACATGTAAATTTTGAATTGTCATTTCAGTAGTCACTTTCCAGTATGCTCAATTCTATTGTAAATCTGTGGTTCTATCTTTTTTTTAAAATTGAAAATATAATTTCGTATAAAAAAAAAATTATTTCTACTTTTTTTTATTTATTTTTCTTACGTATTGAGTTTAAATTATTCAATACAACTTGAAAAAAATAAAATTCTAAGTTCAGAATAAAAAACGAAAATTCAAATAGTTAAGCAAAAATCGTAATTCAAGTCTAAAAATTTCAAAAGTTAAATTAACTCTTTTTATTTTTATCTACTAGTAAATACTTTTAAATTGTTCAATTTAATCTGACAGAAAATTTTAAATAACATATACTTGCTCTAAAATTCAAATCATAAATATTTAAATCAAAAAATATTTCATTGCAAATCAATAAAAAGGAATGATAAAGTACATGTAACACAGGTGACGTAATTTGGGCAAGGGGGGAGGAAAGAGAGAGGTATGATTGAAGAAATGAATGATTGAAACTGCTAAATTGAGTAAACTTGTCTAAGTAATGTTTCATCTGGAGAAAATGATTGATTATATTTAATTCAATGGGAAAAAAATGGAGTTTTATTTGATAATGATTGCTTTGATTTGATGCTTTATTTGATGACTTATTATGTTTTATGTATAAAATCTTTTTTTCTGTCTAGTTACTACATTTTTTAATATTTATTAAAATAATAGTTTAAATTTTTCACTGAATTTTCCTTGAATGAATGATTCCTTGAATTTTTCTAATGAGCTATTATTGTCTTATCTTATAGGCATGTATAGAAAGAAATTGTTATCCTTCACCTTTAAATTATTACACATTTCCAAAGTCTTGCTGCACGTAAGTTTAGTTTCTAAATATTTTTTTAGCAATTTAATGTTGTTTTTTTCTTCTTCTTTTTTCCCTTTTTTTAAAAAAAAAAAAATAGTATTTGCTTAAAGTCATACACTTTTAAGGTAAACTGGTAATTTAATAATTATAATATTTACTTTTAGGTTTTACTTGTTCTACCATAATTAATACCATTTACAATTGAGTGCTTTTTTAATGCTCTCTTACATATTTTATAATTATAATTACACTCAAAATCTATGTAAAATTTTTTTTTTATTCTTCTCATTTAAATTATTACAAATTTCCAATCTTCCTGCACTTATGTTTAGTTTTTAAATATTATTTTTTTCAACGATTTAAGGTTTTTTTAATTTTTGATAGTATTTGTTTGAAATTATACACTTTTAAAGTAAACTGATAATTTAATCATAGCTATACTATTTACTTTTAGATTTAAAAAATAATTAATGCCATTTACAATGAAGTACTTTTTTAATGCTCTCATATATTTTATGATATTTGCAATCAAAATCTTTCTCCATTGTAATGCATTCATTTTATTTTAACACTATTTTCATATAATGGTTCAAAGAGTTATTAAAATTTTTAATTACTAGTATTTTATTCATTGTTTTTTCAATTTTTTTATTTATTTATTTTTCACTTTTGATGCCCTTTTAAACGCTATGTTATAATCTAGCTATAGGTAATTACATACCAAATAAACCAATTGTCAGTAGTAAAATATCAGATTTGCATCTTTATAGTTTATTTTTGGCTAGCAAAATGGATGAAAAATACCAAGTTTAAGATTTTTTGAGCCATTTGTTCTTTTGAACTATCAACTATGTATAGCTTGTTGTTTTCTTAGCTTCTGTATCTCAATTGCATTCATCTTTTTGTTTTAAAATTTTCTCTTTAGTCACGTTAGGGAAATGTGTGATAAATAGTTTATATATATATATATACATACGTACGTATATATGTATATATGCTGAAAGATATCAATGTTTGAAAAGCTTGTTATTTGCTTGCATGTAAATGCAGATCGTCGATTTTTCACTTGACTTAAAAGTAAATCTTAATTGACAGTTCTAAATTGCAAGGTTGACAAACATCATACTTTTTTTTTTATATAATTCAATTTTTTTGTAATTTAAAGGGGAGTTTTTAAAAATATATAATGTATAAGTATTAAATATACTTAAATATAAAATATATAAGTATATTTAAGTGCAGTATTTTATATAAACATAAAACTCAAATTCTTGAATTTAGAGATCCTTAATTAATCAACGAAAATATATTAAAAAATTTTTAAAAATACATATTACTAAAGATATGTCTAAAAATGATTCAGAAATCATTTAAAAACGATTCCTTAATTCCTTTATTTTTATGGCTATCTTTATCCATGTATTAATTTATTTATATTTCTAGTTCAGGTTAATTATATGTATGGTTTTATGTGTATTCGTGTATTCAATCATTTTTATGTGAATGCAATTTTTTATATGCATGCATTATATGTACGTGTATGAAATTTTTTATATGCAATAAAGACTTCTCTTATTTACTTCTTATTTTTTAGTTCAAATTTTTTTTCCTCCAGTTATTATGGTTTAAATGTAAGGTGCTTGCAGTTATACTTGGTATTTTACTCCTTCAACCGTTGTTCTGAATTTATTGGAATGTTGAAGCAGACTGATTACTCACAATAATTTTTGTTCAAATTTTAAGTGCAACATTTTTTAATATTTTAGCTCAGTGAATGAAGTCATTTGTCATGGCATACCAGATTTACGACCCTTAGAAGATGGAGATCTTCTAAATAGTAAGTTATTTGCTAAAGGTTTTGTTTCAATTATAAAACTTTGAAAATTAAAATTTTAGATTCTTACAACAATACAGGGTTCATACGCAATGTAAATATCGGGAAAAGCCTTATTTTACCAATAACCAGGAATTGTTGGGGAATTTTACATCCTAACAAATAGCAGGATTTTATCCTTCCATTTTTAATACTGTAATTTGCACTTGCGCAATAGAGGATTTAAAGAATTAATAGGATATTTTTCCTGACAAACTGTCAGTAGGTGTATTTGCAAAATTCTTAATTATTTGATTTCATTTTATCTTGATTTGTTTCGGATTTTATTATTTATGTTAGCCCTTCTTGTGATTAAGTATTGTTTTTATTTAATTTGATTAAAAAGTTTTCTTTCTATTCTATAGTTTTCTTTTGTTCATTATAATTTGGCTTATTTTTAATTAACTTATATATTTGTTAGTTTCTTTTCGTGTTGGCATTGAAATTAAACTAAGATATTTTTAATATTTTTTTAATTTTGTGGTTTTAGCATCTGAATTTATCTTTATGTATTTTTTTTTAAATCTATTTATCCATCATATTTATGATTCATTTTTTTAATAGAAAATCTTAACATTGTTTTTTTATGATTTTTTTAGGATGTTTCAATTGTTGAGTTGTTTTCAGTTTCTTTTGTTTTATTGATTAATAAGTTCTCCCTTTATTTTCTTTCTTTTTCTTTTTTTTTTCTTTCAGCTTTGTTTCATATTTTAGTATTATTTATTAATTTTTTATTTTATTTATTTTGCCTGTCTGTTGATAAAATGCATTATTTTTTAATTCTTTGTTCTATTTTGTATAACTTAATATAGATTAACTTTAATTAAATATAGATTATCTATATATTTGTTAATTTTTAAGATGGTTTGATATTTGGTGATAAAAATATAAAAATATGTTTTAAAATCACTTTTTTTAAATTAGTATTGTTCAACTAAGTTATACCATGTTATTGGTGCTTATCTTTCCCATAATGAATTTTTTAATCGATCAGGGATGTGATTCTTTCGCGGATTTCCCGCTTTCTTTCAGATTTTTCCATTTCCCCCGGCTAATTGTTTCGGATTTTAATAATTGATTTGTTTCGGATTTTAATATATATGTTAGCCCTTCTTGTGATTAAGTATTGTTTTTATTTAATTTGATTAAAAAGTTTTCTTTCTATTTCTATAGTTTTCCTTTGTTCATTATAATTTGGCTTATTTTCAATTAACTTATATATTTGTTAGTTTCTTTTCGTGTTGGCATTAACATTAAACTAAGATATTTTTATTAATTTTGTGGTTTTAACATCTGAATTTATCTATATGTAATTTTTTTTTATCTATTTATCCATCATATTTATGATTCATTTTTTTAATAGAAAATCTTAACATTGTTTTTTTAGGATGTTTCAATTGTTGAAAAGCTGTTCTTTTGTTTTATTGATTAATAAGTTCTCTCTTTATTTTCTTTTTCTTTTTTTTTTTTCTTTCAGCTTTGTTTCATATTTTAGTATAATTTATTAATTTTTTATTTTATTTATTTTGCCTGTCTGTTGATAAAATGCATTATTTTTTAATTCTTTGTTCTATTTTGTATAACTTAATATAGATTAACTTTAATTAAATACAGATTATCTATATTTTTGTTTATTTTTAAGATGGTTTGATATTTGGGGATAAAAATATAAAAATATTTTTTAAAATCACTTTTTTTTCTTCTTTTTTTAAATTAGTATTGTTCAACTTAGTTATACCATGTTATTGGTGCTTATCTTTCCCATAATGAATTTTTTAATCGATCAGGGATGTGATTCTTCCGCGGATTCACAGATTTCCGCCTTCTTTCAGATATTTCCATTTTCCCCGGCTAATATCCGCGGAAATTTTATTTTGAACAAGTTAAAGTATTTTATGAGGAATTTAAATTTCTGCAGAGCGGAAGTATTGAAGTCCTCATTCCTCCCCCTGAAGTTTCTCTAAAAATCATTTCCTTGGGATAAAACTGGTTGACCTTTTTACAGGGATGAGATTTTTTCGCTTTTGCCTCTCGAATTTCAGTCATTTTATCAAAAACTCTGATTCTCTAAAAGTTTCGTTTTTTTTTTTTTTTAAATAAATATCCTGCTTTTTTTTCTTTTTTCTTAAAATTCAGTTGTTGAAATAAAATAATTATATTTATTTACGATTTTCAAAGATAAACAGAAAATTCAAACTACGTCCTAGCTGCCAACCTTTCCGTATTTTTACTTATTTTAGCTATTTTCTCAGCTTTTACGCACAGAAAATAAGATTTTCCGTATTTTTATTCGCCTGCCGGATAGCTCATATTTTCGCTATTCAGACATCGTGACCCTGTTGTCTGACGTGAAAGCCAAAGGAAAAAAAATAAAAAATAGAGGTGGATTTGCTGTGAAAATATTTATTTGCTTATTCAATTAATCTTGTACATTTTTATTTATTATGCCTACACAAAAATAATTCAAACAAGCCTTTTAGAAATCCCAAGTTTAGCAAATATCTCGATTCTTATTCACGCGATTTTAATATCAATCATCGATTTTCGTATTTACCTGATTTAAAAGTTACGCATTGCGATTCTTATTTACGCTATTTAAACATCGTACATTATGATTCTTATTGACGAGATTTAAAAATCCAATATCGCGATTTTATTATCACACATCGATTTTCGTATTTACCTGATTTAAAAATTTAAAGTTGCGATTCTTATTCAGGCTGTTTAAATATCGTACATTGCGATTCTTATTTACGAGATTTAAATATCCAATATTGCGATTTGTATTTACGAGCTTTTAAAACCCTATGTAGCGATTCATATTCACGCGAGCTTGAAATCCAATGTTGTGGTTCGTTTTTATGGTTGTATTATCAAACATTGATTTTCGTACTTATACGTGCTTTAAAAGTTAGACAATGTGATTTGTATTCGCGCAATTTAAAAATTATGCATTGTGATTCGTATTTACGTGATCTAAAAATTACTCATCATGATTTGTATCTTCGCATTTTTTAAAATTCGATATAGAGTTTCATATTAGCGTAATTTAAAAGCCTCATATCGGGATTCATATTCTCTCAATTTAAAATCGTGCATGTGATTCAGATTCGTATTCATACAATTTTAAAACTAATCATCGGGATTTATAATCACATGGCTTACAAGTTCAAAAATCGCACTTTTTTTGTTAAATTTCTGTATGTATATATATTCTTGGATTTCCTCGTTTTTACTTTCTGACTACTGTCATCCCAGATCGATGCTAATTTATTGGATTTTAATTGTTGAATGCATTTTTGTTTTCAAAAATGTGTGTACATTGATTTAACTTCAATTTCACGCATTATTTATCTATTTATATATAGTATTTTTTTTTTAAACTTAAGTACTTAAATATTTTTTTTTCTTTTAATATTGCCTACTGAATTTCCTTAGCTTTATTGTTCTTTTTAGTCACATTTATAGTTTTGACAATTTATTATTTCTAATCAAAGTTGGCATTATTTAAATCACCAGATTTTTTTTAAATAGAAATAATTTATATGTTTTTTTTACTGTTGCAATTTTATTTATGATACAAAAAAAATCCTGCTACTAACTAAAACGCCCTAATTCATTTCTTCGTACTTTGTAAATAATCATCACAATAAAAAAATAATAATTAAAAATCATGAAATCCGTAGTAGTAATTGCTTTAAAAAAAAGATCTGCGGCGAAATCACGCAAATCGGACTCCTCAAAAAGGGATTATTTAAATGCTAATTTTGTTTCTAGATTGGGTTGTTGTAATAAACAATATATTGTCCAAAGAATATCAGATTTAAGATCTATGGAGAAATCAATGGCTATAGCAGCCAAAAAAATTGATAGAATCATGGCCTTAAAAAGTAAATACTCAAATGCACCATTCGAATTTTCCATATTGTTTGAAATATGTCGGGATATTTAAAAACCATGTGAAAATCGATATCAATAATTATCAAAAATACAATCATAACGATGTACGATACTATCGGTGTAAATTCAGCACTCCAAAAAGTGATTATTTAAATTTATGAATTGAATTTTATGTGTAAATTTCTGTAGAAAAGAAAACTTTCTGCAAGAATTCTGTAACGTTTTGCTGCAATGACGTGTCGCTGCAATTCTGCCACCGGGATAATATGTACATAATGAAAACATATGAAATTTTTTTCCACAGATTTGGGTAGCAACTCTATTTTTCAGTTGAAATATATTTTAATATGGCACCTTATTTTCAACTTAATTATTTAACCATATTTGATTTCTCAATTTCCATGTCCTTCTAAATGGTCAATTTTCTTGGTCCTAAGATTGTTCACTCAACTGAGATTACTTTTAAAGTTTATTGTCAGTATAATTTGTCATTATTAAGCATATTTTTTGCAGTTTGTTTAAATAACTACTTTAATAAGAATGTTGTTCTTCTGTTTAGTTGACATTACCGTGTATCACAATGGCTTTCACGGAGATTTAAATGAAACTTTCTTAGTTGGAAATGTCGATGAAGCAGGGAAAAAACTGGTGCGTGTTACATACGAGTCCCTGATGAAAGCTATCGAAATAGGTACGTAAGAATCTTATTTCTGTTTATCATACAATATCTTAAAGTTCTTGTAGGATTAGCAAGAACTCACGTGTCCATTTTTTTTTTTTTTTTTTTTTTTTTTTTTTTTTTTTTTTGCAAGCAAAACGCAAAACATTCTTGGTAAAAAGGTCCTCTTAAAAATTAGTTTGGGTTTTTAGAGAAAAACCAAAGTATGAGTTTATTTTAATAAACTGATATTGCTAAAGTGCGGTTTATGTATGTATAATGCATAATAAATATATTATATTTTTATTATGCATTATTATATTTATTAATATAAGTTATTAGATTAATATATATATATAATAATGCATATATATTGATAACTCAAACTTATATTAATATATGTTTATTATGTTAATATATTATATACTATGAAATAAGTCATTACAATATATTAATATAAGTTTAAGAATTTATTTTTTGTGAAATTGATATTTTATCCTTATCTACAGCATCCTTCAAAAATCTGAATTGAATTCTGAAAAGGGTTCTTCATAAATGATTCTATGTTTGTTTATGTGGCATTATTTGTGCTCATATCAGGTTGCGTAGTACAACCAGTTTCTCCCCCCAGGTGTGAAAGTTGCGTCAGAGAATTTCATAAAAGTTATGTTAAATAAAATTTTTCAGTCACTTTTTTCTTATGAAGTATCTGGCACTTATAAAAATTGAAAATAGATCAAAACATTTTGTTGGACGAAAGTTGTTTAATTTTTCACAATTTTTTTCCCCTATAAATAATAACTGCAACAAAATCACATTTAATCACTTCGAATCGAATGGAGATAAAAAATATTTTACATGGTTTTTACACATAAGTAGCATTGCTTTAAATGAGTTATTTTTCACATTTTTCAGTGAAACCTGGAGAGAAATATAGAGAAATTGGTAATGTCATTCAAAAGTATGTCCAAGCACATGGTTTTTCAGTTGTTAGGAGCTATTGTGGTCACGGAATACATAGGTAATTTATGTTTATAATTATTTTTACTGTATTATATCTTATTATAATATTTTTTTTTGTTGTCTTTAAGTGTATCAATTTATAAATATTATGAACATAAATACCTATACATAATAAATACCTATATAAATAAATATACTAAAAAGCAAATTGTTTTTATGAAACCCCTCCGGTGCGACCAAATAAAGTTTTGAAGAACTAAGTGTTCAGATTTCATGACATTGTTCTGGGAAAGAAAAATTTCAAAATCTAAAAAAGGCACTGAAACGCTTAAATTTTTATGCAATATCAAATGAAGTCCTTAAAAAATTTTAATGTATTTTTAATCTTTAATAGACTATATTAAATAATACTTGTACTTCATTGAAGTAAAAAACTGTATATTTATCTGTTTCATAGTTTTATTCAAAGTATAGCATGTTTTTGCAAAATAAGTCTAGTATTTATGAAATATGAGTAAATATTTGCACTAATTTCATGTGCTCAAGATTTAGCAATCTCACTTTATAACGCCCATTTTCTTTTGGACTACAGGGATCGTTATTGTTGATTGGGGGTATATGTATATATATTGAGGAAACCATAGCAATAATATTTTGCATGCGGAAAAAAATCTATATAAAACCTCATCTGAGTAATTTTTTGTGATCTATGTTGCCTTACTGAAGCAAAAAAAAATCTACATAAAACATCCTCTGAGTAATTTTTAGTGAAATGTCTTTCGCTACTAAAGCTACAGCCATATAAGAAAAGAATAGTGCATTGTTTGCTTTTTTTATTGAAGTTTAGCAATATATTAATATTCTAAAAGTATTAGATCGTAATTTTATTTTAAAAATTAATGACTAAAAAATCTTAAATCAGGAAGGAGCTCAGATTAGTTAGACTTTATTTAATTTGCATTGCATATTTATATGAAAAAGTAAATTAATATTTCTTATTTAATGATGAAAGATTTATAAATAAAATGAAATTTAGAATAATTTTATTTTTTAAGACTTCTGTGTATGACTTCTGTGTATTATCTTAAGACTTCTGTGTATGAATTTATATTTTCTATTTTTTCATTAAAATTTTTATTTTTAAAGTATGAATATTTGTGTTTTATTTCTTATTTACCATTAACTTATAATGCGTCCATTTTCTATTTTAAAAATGTATGTTTCAAGAACTTTTACTACAGTTTTAGCATAATATGTGTATTTTAAAATTCGTTAGCATCTCCTTATTTTTGACGGTTATCACAATGTACAATCAAACTTTCATGTACAGATACACAATATTTGCTATTCTTGGTCAATTTTACGCGAGTTACCTTAATAAAAATAAATTAAAATGGTATGTTGGTGATTTTCTTCTAGAAACTGGAAACTGATTTAAAAAGTTTTAACTCAAAAAACTTGTTGTTTTCATCTCGACCAGAGGTGACTTGAGCAATCTGGTAACAGTATTTTTCATTCATTTTAAACTATAAAAAATAAGCCGGTCCTGGTCCCTCAAAATATAGTTTACCTTCACAAGATTCAATTTTACATAGATTGAAGTGAATAAAAACGACAGTTACCTGATAGTACATTCACAATTGTTTGATAGAATTCTTTTGCAATTGGGATTTTTCGTAAAAACATCAATATTGATTTTACAAAAAAGCCTGGCGTGATGGTGGAAAATGAAGGCCATTTTAGGAATCAGCACATCAAATAACATATAAATATACAATGACGTCTCTTGTATTTTTCAAAAACTTAAATTTTTGCAGGCTTGTGTAATTTACAGCAGAAAATTTTACCGTATGTAAAATATATTTTTTTTTCTTATTTTAATTTTAGATTATTTCATACAACTCCAAGCGTTCCTCACTATGCAAGTAAGTGATTATATTGAAACTTATTGATGTAGAAATTTTTTTCTGAGAAATTATATTTTCTTTATAATGCTGATTATAAATGTCTTTTTATTTATTTCATCAGAAAACAAGGCAATTGGAATAATGAAACCTGGACATTGTTTCACTATTGAACCTATGATTTCTGAAGGTTTGTAGTCAATTCAAATTTTACTGTTCCAGATTTTCCTACATGTCTACAAATTTAAGTCACAGTAGAGAATAATTCACTTTCTGTGAGTTTTTTTTACTGATATTGATGTCTTATTTTGTGCAAGAGTGGTTGTGTTCTGGTAAAATAAATTCCATTTTTTTTTTCTTTTTCAAAACCAAAATATCAAGTAATTTCTGTATTTATAATTTTTTTTATTATTATTTGAAAAAAATTAAAAATTTAGAATTTTTTTTTTATCTCTACAACTTGAGTTGGACACTCCAAAGGAGTAAAGATGTATTAATGCAGTATATGTAATAGTCATCACAATTTGCGGAAAAGTGATTTATGAATTGTAATCACAATTTATGATTAATATTCACCTTATCTATGATTCATTACTTTTTATCTTATTTAAATTGCATTTTTTGCTATTCATGTTGAATTGTTTTACAAACCATGCTTCGCAATTTAATCCCAGTTTGTGGCTCCTGTATGCAATCTACGAGTCCGTACATCGATCATATTTCATATAAAAATCACATTAGCACATCATTGTTTATATACACCATAGTATGATAAAAATATAAAGTATTTGCACACACAATCCAAAAGTATCTGCTAGCTCATAATATTTTTTGGTAATAGAATAATTTTATTAAATTATCAAAAACAATTAGCTATTTAATATTTTTGTTTATTCTTGACAAATATATATATATATATACATAAAATTATTAGCAATAAATAAGTATAAAATTTAAAAACTGCATTCATATAAAGTAATTATCATATTAAGTAATATTAGTCATTTTTGTCCAAACAGAATTATATTATCCTACTGTTACCACAATAGTTTATTTTCATTGTATAGTGATTGTCAAGGTGAGTTGCAAAAAAGACTTGCTGATTGTAGGCTCATCTGCGAAGGATGGGATCGCTAATTTTTAGGCTAAAGTGGCAGTTATATCTTTTCTCTTTGGGAGCAGCATGCATACAACTAAACGTTGACTTTTATTTTCCCATCACTGCAAACTTTATATTGCAATAAATGTTAAAAAAGTATCTGCAAAATTGGAGAATCACCACCAATTTATCTGCGCACGGCGTGCACATCTGTATTATCTAATTATGATATGCACCTAAGCAAAAAATCTTAGTAACACCTGTTCACAAAATTTTAAAATCAAACTTTGCGATTCATAATTACGTGATATAAAAGTCAGACATCGTGAGTCTTATTAATGCAATTTATTTAAACTATACTAATTCCATAGATGGGAAGAAAAAAAAGATGGAAAACATTTAAGTTCTAAATTCATCCAGGTAGTTAAAAAATAACAATTTGCAAAAAAAGAAACATTCCTTTCCCTGAAGCTATTTTTATTTACTTAATTTTCAAAATCCATGTCAAAAATTGAAATCTGAATTAATATTCTTATAAAATAAACGCATTTTAATTGATATTTAATGTGTAAGTATTAAAACTTCCAGAAATAAGATTAAAAAGAAATACTGTAGACTCTTTGTAATTCAAAATACTAGCTGACTCAAACGTTCACCTACTTTTTTAGTTAATTTGATGCTATGAAATTTCAAAAATAGTTTTGTTTTCTTAAGTTGTTATAAGTCTTTTCCTGCCAATTTTTAGTAGTTTCATTTGAAGAATTTATATCGTGGAAATAAGAAAGTTGAGTGGCTTTCTTAGAAGTGCATGCTATGAATAATATTCATTATTGATAGGGTACATAGTCATTGTATCCCCAAGTCAGCTTTTCATAACATATTGCTTGATAAGTCATATCAATGTAGTTGCAATACACTATTTTGCTTCTGTTCAAAAGCGCTGACCTTCGACCACTATCACTTTTGATGGTAAGAAAATTAATTAGCCCATTTGTAAAAAAATTTCTAATACAATATGAACCAATCAAAAATACATAGGTTACAAGTGTAATTTTTGCAAGATGGCTGTTAAAGCTTGACAGTAAACTGTTGTTTTTTGACAGATGCACGGCACATAAAAAGCTGAAAATTCAATGCCTAAAAATTCTCTATTTTCAACCCACTATAACATCTTTGGTTCAACCATGACTAGAGAATATTTATTACTATTATTATTATTATTTATTTTTTTGCGATCATAATTTAGATATTTTTGTTAAATTTTAATGAATTATGGTGTATTTTTTTATTGTTTTTTTGAACTTCAGATTTGTCCTAAATTACCTGAAAAATTAAGGGAAATTTAATTTTTAGTTTAAACCTCTAAAAAAATTATTGATCATATAAAAAAAATTAAACGGTATGGAAGGTGTTCTGTTTTCTTAGGTATATTGGAGTAGCGTGTTTTTATGAAGAAAAAAAAACTGTTTTTCTATCATATTTCAAATGTAAATTGGTTTTTCTCAATTTTAGGTACTTGGACTGATAACACATGGCCAGATGAATGGACTGCTGTGACCCGTGATGGTAAACGGTCTGCACAATTTGAACAGACCCTGCTAGTGACGGAAACTGGATGTGAGATCCTGACACGGAGAAGGAATCTTGGAGGACAGCCTTACTTTATGGACAATTTGTCTTAGCAGTTTTGTTATGACAATATATTAATTGAAATAGATTTGAATTAGAATGTGTTAAAATAATTTTTTATTGTTTTGTTTAGTCAAGATACAATTTATACCTTACAAAATAAAACAAAAAAGAAATTCCTGCAATACTTCAAAATTATTTGTATAATTAACACTTTTTTTATTTTATTAAAATTTAAAACTATGAATTACAAAGAGAAAATAATTATAAAAGTACAATGGATCTCATGGAAAAATGTGTCTTAAAATAAGGTGATTACTTTGGAATAATTAGCAAAGTTATTCATCTCTATACATAACCATAATACACTTATCTAAGAAGAATTATAGTCTATATTGCAAAATTTCTTGGCTATGAACTCAATACATTCTAACAATTTTCTTATTCTCTATACCTCTACCTATTTATATTGAGTGATTCAACGGATTGAAAACTTTTAATGTTAAACATTTCTTATAGTTTACCAATAACTTTTTTTTTCTTTAGAAATTCATTTATTTTGCTTTCCAATTGTTGCTTTTTAGTTTTCATTTAATTAATCATAATGTATTAAATAGTTTGAAAATTAATACTTTGATTATTTAAAATAGGTTGCAATTTTAAACTGTTAAAATATTAGATGTTTATTTTTGAGGAACTTTCTTCCACTTAAGGTTGAAAGAAACTTGTCATCCCTAATTCAAAGCATGGTATTTATGTTTATTTCAAGCATGAATGTGAAGTAAAAGATGTATATTTTACTAAACACAAATTTAAAAAAAATTTCAAATTCAAATATTGTAAACCTAAATATGTTTATAAATTATTCAATATCTTAATAATTAATATTTTAGCTAAATTTATGCAACTGATATTTTTAATAAGAAAAAGAGTTATTACTTATATTTTTAATTCTGTATATATTTTACTTGTAAATATTGTTGCATTCATTGTTAATGAAAAATACTATTTTTATTATTATTTAGTATTTAATGATGTTGCTCAATATTATTTTCTTCTTGCTAATCCTTTTCTCTGAGAATGTACAGCACTTTAGTTTTTAAACTAGGTATTGTAATAAAGTTTATTTGAAAATAGTAAACGTGCTATTGAGTACTTTTAAAAAATTAGAAATGCTTATTAAAACTGATTCAAATCTTTTCTGTTTTCTTTCAAATGCCAAGAAATTTGAAATGTTTAAGTAATTTGGTCAAGACTTTTTTAAAAATGTAGTAGTAAATGGCAGAATAAGTTAAATTACATACAGCCAGAGGAGAAATTATTTTTTTAGTTCTATAGTGACAACAGATCCAAATTTCCATAAGCTCAGCTGTTTCCTCACGTGAGCATGTCATAAGGGGAAAAAAAAAAAACAGGTTCATTTGTTTAAAGAATGCTCTGATGATAAACCAATATTTAATTCAAGGAATAGGTACAAATAAAGAAGGTATCACCCTGAATAATTCTAATGATGGTATATTTTATGAACTAAGTGTCAATCTTAATGTTTCCAGGGAGTGATTTCATATATGCTAATTAATTAGTCCTTACTATTAATTAAGTTATGAAATCAAACACAAAACCATACTTTCTCTGAATAAACATTTCTTACACATATTTAGATTTTTGACCCTTGAAATAGGGGAGGTAGTTGCAATTTGGAAATTTTGGCTCCTACAGTAAAGCCAAGAGAGTGCATTAAAGTTATGTCTCCTTAATATTAATATCTTAAAAATTAATTCAATATTTTAAAATAAAAAATTGCATCCACTGAGTACAAGTTTACCCAAAGATAATTTCACACAAAAAATTTTTTTGCTATTTAATTTAATAGTGGATGGAAAATAATTTAATTACGATCCAGAATTTTTTTACATCATATTAATCTACATATTTTTTTATAGCGAAATCAAAAGTTTCACTTCTTTAAAGTTAAAATTATTTTTTAAAAAAAATAATAATTTGGCAACAGGAAAAAAAAATAATAAATATTGGTGGGATTAATTCCTAAATGTGGTAAACTTGCAAAAAACTTGACTTTCATTAGGTAGCATAAAATTTCATTCATGTTTTCATAGTAAGTAGGTCACTACTCTTATTACTAGTGTATCCTTTCCTTTTATACCTCTCAATAGTATGAGATTTGATAATCCATTGCTTCTTAAAAAAATATATATATTTATATATGACCCCCAATTCACCTAAATAAAATTTCATGATAAAAATTTTCTCTTTATAATATTCAAAGGTCCTAAAAATTTTGAAGTAACTTATAGAATGGATAAGGTACTTGTATGTTATACAATTTGTGGATGGTTCCATAGTTCAAGGTATCAAATTTTAAAATTGTCTATTAAATTATGATGGATTAGGCCAAAAAAAAGGGGGAGGGGGAATATCATGGAAAAGTGGCATGCCTGTAAGAAATGATAAATAAGTCTGATTCTTCATGGCTATTAGGAATGATTTTAATAAATAAGTTATCTTAATTAACCATTTCAGTCGAGTGGAAAAATAGTATTTGTAAAGACAGAAGTTAGCTTTTATATATGAGACTTGCATAATCATCATTTACATCACAACCTCTAAATGGGAATTATGCAAATTTCATAAAATAATATTTGTATTTTATAAATCTAATTTTTTATTCTCAAAAACTACATTGTAAACTTCAAAGAATAATAAAGATTTCTTTTTTTTTAGAATAGTACATTTATTCAATAAATAACAAATAAAATAAATTAATAACAACTCTTATGATTTTAACAATTGAGATCAATTACAAAATTTTGATATCAAAACTTTTTCCTCGTGGTAAATTTTTTTGATAACAAAATATACTTTTGTAACTGAATATAATGTTTTGCAGTTTATTAAAATTAGAAGTTGTATGGATAGAAGTTCATTCCAAGTGTAGGATTGGCATAACACAAAGATGAGAATAAACATCAATAATACTTGAATTACAAACATAATTCTCATCAAGAAAGTAGGATTCTTGAATAAAATCTGCAAGAGGAAAGAAAAAAAAATTATAAAACTCACAAAAATAAATTTAAAGAAAAATTACAATCACAATAACTACAAATATACACACCTGCCAACATGGTTAGGAAAAAATCCAGTAGATTTTATGAAATACTATAAAGTTTCATGATAACTGTAGCATAATATACTAAATATTTTACATAAATGAAATTTTTACTGTCATCAAAATACAAAAATTTTATGACACTAAAAATTTTAAATGGTCTGCAATATTTTCCATTTATGATTGACAATAAATGAACTTGAAATGATTTTTACAATGTTAACTCATTTTGAATACTAACAGACAAGAAATTATTTATTATTGATAGTAGAATGATTTTTTTTCCAATCAGTTTAAAAAGGAAGTTCTGAATAAGAATAAACTGAAAATTTTAGATTAAAATTTATGAAAAAATAAGCTTTAAACTGGTTACTACTAATGTGGCTCGCTTNTGATTTAAAAGCCTCATATCGGGATTTATATTCATACAATTTTAAAATTAATCATCGGGATTTATAATAACATGGCTTACAAATTTAAAAATCGCACTTTTTTCGTCAAATTTTTGTATGTATATATATATTTTCTTTCATTCTTGGATTTCCTCTTTTTTACTTTCTGACTACTCTCATCCCTGTAATGTGGCTCGCTTCATTATGTATAAGTAATATTTATTTAAATATTCAAGCAAGCAATAAATTGTGCAAAAATTCTATTTCAATAGGGATTTTTTTTTTTTTTTTAAGGAAACTTACTCACTTTTAGGGCATTTTCGAAAATATACAGAAACCAAGAGAAATTGGCAAAATCCAGTAGAGTTGTCAGTTATGAATATATCAACAAAAAACATTTTGTGTTCAATTTTAAGTTTTACCTAAAGGTTATTTCATTATTTAATGGTATATTTTGGTCAAAACGCTCATAAGAAGAAAAAAATGCACCAGACATGCTTTGTATTTAGAATATATAGTAAAATATCATTACTGTCCCATGTCTCCAACACATATTTAATTCTTATTACTATTAAAAATGCTATTTACTTTGTTAGGATTATTCTCAACTGGTTACTTTTTTGGGGGGGAAGTGATGTGAAATATTAATGAATTTTTTAGTGATTTTAAACTTTACAATTACTTTTTTTAGATAAATACCTTTTAAAAAAAACATAATTTTCTCATATTCTTATAATTATTAATAATTTAAATATCGAGGGTCAAATTCAGTTATTACATAATATTACACATTTTGATAACTTTAAGGGCGGTAAGCTTTTTCAAAAAAGTGTTGATCAAAATTCAAAGTTTTTATACACATTTTGATAACTTTAAGGGCGATAAGCTTTTTCAAAAAGTGTTGATTTGATCAAAATTCAAAGTTTTTATTCCTAGGGCGATTTCTTAATGTCAAAAAATATTATTATTTAGTCACATTGTAATATTTAAACACACCACCCCCATGGCAGCCATGTAATTTTGACTTATCTGACAACATCTAAGCTGGTTCGCTTCTCACCAAACTATAACATATGAAAAAATTTAGAGCAATGACAAATTATTAGATATGCTACGAATACAAGCCAATAGTTTCGCCAAACCTCCCATTCTCCCCTAACGGTGTATTCGACACCTTGACTGGACTACCAGAGCACTATTCTAATATTTAAATGCTGAGTTCTTAAAAGAATTGAAAGTGTTCCAAGAATCATTCACGCATTTCTTTTTATTTTTTAAATATATATATACATAAAATGTAACATGAATCAAGTCAGCACAAAAAAAATTAGTGATACCTATCTTTTTACTTAACAAATATGCATAAAATAAAAAAAAGTGTATTGTTTTTCTAAAATCTGAAGAAGAAAAAAAAATTTCAGTTTTTAGAAAACACCTTTTTTTAAACCATTTACTTACACATCTCTTTTTTTTTTTAAAAAATATATATACATGAAATGTAACATCTATTTCCTAAAAATTTATGAATATTTTATAGAGTCACTAACCCTTTAATAATCGGTTAATTTTCAAGAAAATGGTCGAAAAAGTGTCTATTTTGCCAAATACACGTATTTGATTAGTTTAAAATAAATTAACTATTTACAATTACCTTAAAAATATCCTGGTACTGCTATATGGAAAATGAGAAATAAAATGTTTTCCAGGCAAAAGAAATAAATAAGTTTTATTCTTATTGGCCCATTACTACTGAACACTCCAGCCCGTCAATATCGCGGGAGCGAAAACTCACCCCGTCATTTTCACGGGAGCAAGAAGAAAGGGGTTAATAAAATCATTTTAAATACTGCAAAATATTAAAGAATTTGCTTGAGTCAAGTCCACACAGGAAAAAAAAATTAGGGATACTTATAATTTTACTCAACAACAGGGTGCATAGCCAAATTTAACAAAAATAAGTACTTTTCAAGCATTAAAAAATATTTTTAAGCACTTTAAAAAATATCATAATTAGGCAGGGTTCGAAAGTTTTTGACAATTGACGGTTTTATCTTGCTTTAACTGTCAAAAAAAAAAAATTGGCATTGTTTTTGACAATTGTCAAAAATCATGTGAAACGAATGGTGTTTTCATATGCTACGGGGGGACTATGTGCCAAAATAGATTGGGGTTGAATTAATTGTAAAAACGTTAATAGAACAATGTGAACTGTGTCTTTTTGCATAATTCGAAGCGAAAATCAACATAGTAAAGGAAAAATCTCATTTTGAAAAAGGGAAAATTAAGCACTTTTTAAAAACACCCAATGAAAAACAGCACCTTTAAGGGCTTTTTAAAAACACTACGCACCCTGAACAAATATGCATAGAATAAAAAAAGTGAATTGTTTTTCCAAAAACTGAAAAGAAAAAAAAAATTTCTTACATAAAACCTGGAATGCCCAGAATGGCCTGGTTCTGCAGCATTTGAAATACCCTCCGCTTTAAATAGCTCCTTTGAGTGCTTTACGAGTGCTCCTTGATTCCATGTGGCTGATTCTGTCCATCTGTGTAGACACAAATTAAATAATAACATTCATTGAATTCATAACTACCAAATAGTATCTAAAAGGATGTAAATTTATTAAATGAAAACGTCACCACACTAACATTTCACAATTTTCAGTTTCTTAACTCTAAATACAGTAAAACATATTTATAATCCTGAATATAATAATTGTTTCTCACAAATGAATAAATCGAAAGGAAGGAAAGAAAAACTATAGACTGATATCATACATACCTGACGCGCGAGAAGGGACTAGGAGGCAAAAACTGAATAGAAGAACTCTCTGTACTAGTTTAGAGCTCTCTATAATACTTTATACTTATAAGTTTAGTTTATATTTCCAAATTAAAATAACTACCGTCATTCGGGGGCACTTTGTGCAAATTCGAATTTGGCATTTTTCAAGTGCTGCTATTCAGTATTATGTTTATTTCACGTTAAAAATGTGTGGAATTTGAAGATAGAAGTCTCTTCTATTACTACAAACATTTTTTCGAATTTTAAAACAATCTCAGAGTGTGTTTCGTTCATCCAATGTCAACAACTTTCCGAGGACGTCGGATGTCGAAAAGTGTGCGTGGAAACTTTAGCTGTGAAATGCAAAGACGTTGATAAAACAATTGTCGTAAGTGCAAAATTTTTTATTTATATATTAATAAACAATTATATCATGTTAGCGTTAAAAAAATTTGAAAATTAATAACAAATAAACGGAAAATGAAAAAAAATGCACTTTGGGGCTACTTTGTGCAAAGTTTCATTCGTTTTTTTTTTCGACAGAAAAATGGTCAGACGTTATAAAAAAATACCTGGAACGAGAAACTACCGTGATTACACTTTAGAAAAGCTGCAACAATGTTTGCAAGCAGTTGCTGGTGGTATGTCGATTGCAGAAGCTTCTCGGAAGTACAAAATCCACAGAAATACTATCTCTAATAAAATTCACAAGAAACACGTGAAACTTCCTGGTAAACTATTATTTTTCTTCTACAAAGATTTTTCTAATGAATTAATCAAACGATTTAACACATAAAAATATATTTTATAGGACATCAGGTGATTTTGACAGAAACTGAAGAGCAAGTTCTGTCATGTTCATTCAAGGATGTTATGTTCAAATTTAACAATATTATAAATGTTAATGAATATGTAATAATTATTATTTTTAAAATTTCATCCATTTCAATGTTTAAAAATGTATATGGTTTCCTTTTGTTTAAACTCAAATGTTTTGAAATAAACATTCTTTTTAAGAAAAAATTCTTAAAAAAAAATGGTTTTTTAACGCTGAAAATTATTTTCAAACTAATATCTTTACATATCTTGATGTTTTTGTCTTTAAAAATGTCAACAATTAACTTTTTTAACAATTTTATATCAATATTTTACTAAAAACATGATTATTAAACTGAATTCCTATCGCTGCACAAAGTAGCCCCATTTGGGGGCTACTTTGTGCAAGGTATGTTTTGACTTATTACTCGTAAATATTACAGACAAATAAAGCCAATATTTAAGTAAATCACTCGTCTGAGTCCAGTTATGAATATAATATTGATAAATTTTACTAAAGTTTGAATTAACATAGTTTTTTTACATGTCAAAGTTCAAAAACTGTGAAATCCTGCACAAAGTAGCCCCGAATGACGGTACCTAATTTTTAAAAAATGTGAAAGAAGAATATTTGGCTTTGGTTCTGCTTAAAAGACAGGAAGAAAAATATGTATTTTTTGTTAATCTTCCAGGATTGCATTTAAAATTTGATAACTACAAAACTAATTTGAAATTTCAAAAAAATTCAAAGGTTTTTAAATCTTCAATCATTGAAAATAATAATAAAATAAAAGATTACCTAGTTTTCTTTAACATTGAAAAATACAAAAAGAACAAATATAATTTAATTATTTTAAAATAAATTTGAAATTTAAACTAATTGAGAAGAGTTAGTCATTTACATGATGCAAAAAAAAAATCCTAATTCCCCAGATAGTAATTTACACTAAACTAAATTATGCTACAGAAACTTTGATGCAAAATAATTCAGTAATTATCACACCAATAACATTTTTATATCTGAATGATTTTTAAACATTTTTCTAAAAATTTCATATAGTTTTTGAGATATGACACTGAAAAGCACACTCGGCAAAAATTTTGAGAGACAGCTGGGACCGCAACATTAATTTCTTTTTTAATACACAAAGAAAAAGCAACATTTTAGGAAATTGGTAGATTTAATAAAATCACTGAATTTATACTTTCAAGATTTTTACATAAAAATGAATGCTTACATGCTATAAGGAACATGAACATTTTTCAATTCAACCTTTTGCCATCTGCCCAAATGAAGAGCCGCCCTATGCAGAACATCACAGTAGCGGGGAGGAAATATATGAGAAACATGCATGACAAAAGTGCTAATGCCAGTAAAGATGCCATATTGTGTTACCCAGAAAAAATCATACTGTAATTCAGGCTGGAAAATAATATTTTTCTATTATTTAAAGGCAAATGAGCAACAAAAACAGTTTAATAAACTTTACTTAAATACAAATCACACTTTAATTAAAAATTTTATATTGTTTGACTATTTAATGGACAAAAATTAATAATTAATCAGCATTGATTGAGTAATGAAATTTTAAGAGAATTTGATAAAATCGTTTCATTTAATTTTAGATGACTTCATTTTGTGAAGAAAACAAATTTTTTTAATTAAATGCAAATAAATAATCAATAGAAAAAAAATCAAAATAAAGCTGAACCAATACTATCTGAAGTTTATTTACTCATATACCCAGTTTTATTATTAAAAAAGAAAAAGAAGAAAACTCTCTAACAGAATTTTTTTCAATTGAAAATGTTTTGAGACATCTTAGAAATTGTAAAAGTAAATATTATAACGAACACTTGATATAATGACTCTTGTGGTTAAAACAAAAACAGGCGTTATAACATGTGGTTGCTCTTTCTTCAAAAATAGAACAAATATTTACTAATAATTCATAAATACTGGACTTATTTTGACAAAAAAAAATGTGTTATAGATTGAAAAGAATTATGAAACTGATAGAATAAATGACATCAACATAGTTTTTCTAAATGTCAATAAAGTGCAAGTATCAGCATTTTACATTAAAATTTAAAAATACATATAATTTTTATCAAATGATATCTTTCAATATTACGTCATTAGAAAGTCATTCAGCACTTTTCCCAGATTTTAAATTTTCATTCACAAAAAAAAATAGCAAGAAATTGGGGAATTTGTTTTCCTGTCTTGAGAATTACATCACAATTTTTAATTATTGTAAACTAAGTGCTTTCCAGAATTTGAAATATTTTAAGTAATTTGTAGTTTTGATGAATTCTTCAGTTCCTTTCCTTCAAAATTTTTTATTTCTTTGCTGAGCATATAATGTTAATCTGTTTACTAGCAGAAATTTTCACTAAAAGTCATATGTACAGAGAACTGTTAGATTAAAAAAAATAAAAACAAGAAAAATGCAAACACCCCTTGTTTCAACTCTAAAATAAATCACCTCTTCTAAACTTCCCAAAGTGAAGAAAATATTATTTTCAAACAAGAAAAATATGATTCCCTTGGAAAAGAAATTTTCAAAAGATATGAATGCATGCAAGAAATTCTGAGGTTGTCCCACCAAGAGGATGTGATATACACTTCAAATTCTCAACTAATGGAAAGTAATCAATATTTCACAATCTTTTTGAAAATTGAATACGCCCAGGACTGCCTAAGTTAAAAAAAGGTGATTCTGTCACCCTTTCTTCATTCAAAGAGAATCCAAGATTTTTATTGAGTGATAATGCCAAAAGAAATAGTGGTTTTAATAATTTCCTCTAGATTTTGTTACCCATGGATTCACAAGTTCTCAATTAAACAAGGAGAAGATAACAAAATCGAGAAATCAAATAGAATGTTTAGTAGAGTTATGGTGCCACAGGATTTTTAGAATCTCATTTATAGTTTTTTATTACACATATAATAAACTTGGGCTTATAAAGAAAGAAAGACCTAAAAAATATTAGTATACAGTGAAACCTTCTGTTATGGACACTCCTGCAAAACGGACGCCTCTCAATACGGACATATTTTTAATTCCCCGGGAATCTTCTATGAATAAACCATTACGTACATTCTCCGCACAGCGGACACTCCCTTAACCGGACGCGGACAGTCATTTCGGTCCTGAAACGTTGTTTTCTATCGCTCCAAACCGGACACTACTTTTTAAAAATAAATTGCAAGCTAAAAAAATGCAACTTTTCACCATTTTCAAAGCATGTAAATAAAACTTTTTGCCTTATCCATAACTAAAAATATTGTTAAGCTATTTCACCACCGAAAAATCAATCTTTCTCCTGTCACCTTGCCTTATCTTTGTAAAGAAAGGAGAGAAAATGGTACTGCACTCCTGAAATAATTCT